CTTTCCTCCCACCCACCGTGACTTCCCCTTCACCGGGCGCCCGGGCATCACTGCATCCGGCAGCCTCCCAATCCATCCTTCAGGCGCCCAGGGCGCCACATCCTCGAGCCACGCCGTAAAGCGTCGGCCTGAGGGGAACACAAACTCCTCGGCCGTTCGCTGCCGCTGCGCTGGCATCGGGTCGGGCTCAGGAATCCCATCGCGTCGCCGCGGCCGCGGCGCCGCGCTGCCGGTGGACGCGAGGATCGACGTCTTTGGGTGGTCGAAGAGGTGGCGGACGGAAAAGGTAGGGCGAGAATGGGAGAAGCGGGGTGGAGGTGGTGTCAAAGCATAGAGAGTCGAAGTGGGGGCTGTGGACTTTGGACTTCGGGCAATTTGAGAATGAACTTGAAATCTTAAAATCAAGGTATAGTTATTATGCGTTCTAGTGCTATCATGGGTCGATGCTGCGTGGTCTTGTTGCAGGCTACGACTCGTGAGCTGAAGCCCCCTCCCCCACCCTACCTACCCAACGCGGGTTGCGACTGGGGGCACAACGTCCAAATAAGGATGAATAAGGTGAGTGGTGTGAGTCCGTTCATAGTGGGTGACTTTCATCCCCCAAAACATGAACACTCGATCTGCAGATGCTGCCGGCGGTCCATCATCGAGTTCGAGACATTGGTCCAGAACTTCCTTGGCAGGGCAGTGGAGTCACAAGGAAGATTGAATCTTGAATCATAATTTATCATTATCCAGGAAATTCAAAAAGATTCAAACAGAATAATTTCACTTTTGCAGGGAGACATACTGTTTGCACAGGATAAATGGTCAAACCCAAACAGGACCCGATGTCTGCTGTGCGCGAGCACGCGAGCACCGAGGCTCGGACCTACCCCCCCAACATCTTTGAGCTAATAAACGCTCAATCATCAATCCTTCTTGAAGGTGCTTTGGTAGTGTTGATCCTGGTCGATCATCCCAACCTCCGTTTCTTCATGGTTGCTTTTCACCACCACGTTTCTTCAGCTCAAGGCACCCGATGGGCAAAATCCACGAATTCTTCGCATGGTCGCCTTTGGTCAGCCTCGTGGCCAAGTCGTCCCCACGCTGCATGGTGACCTGGTCGGTGCTCGACCGGGCCATTGAACGACGCGGCCACGGACGCGTGGAACGACGCGGCCACGCGATCCATTGCGACCCGGAAAGAGGTTGATTCAATTAGAGAAGGCCTGGGGACTAGGATGAGCTGCACGAACGCCCCAGCAACAAAAAAAGGGCTCTTCAGCTCCTTGAAAAAGCCACAGGTCTTCAAAGAGGTCCTTGATCTTGGCAAGGCACGTGTCCCTATTCGTCCCTGCACCAATCCCCTTCTACTTCTTCTAGACTCAATCATCGTCGTTATCCCCTTACTTGGTGGATTGCAGGGACACTTCACTTCTGCCTGGGCCCGACCCTGCTGGAAAAACAGTCGTGCCCACCTTGGCTGGATCCAAGAAGACCTGCAACAGATCTCCAGTCTCCAGAACCAGTCAAATTGGGAAAAAAGCATCATGAACATGTTCGTGCTCTACTGTTGCTGTCGCCGTCGTCGCCGTCGTCGCCGTCAAGCTTATGCAAATCACTCATAAGTTAGATTAAATTGGTTGAGGCAAATTGAACCAATCACCATCAATCAACTTCACCTCATCTGATGTTCTCCATCTCTGGGGTTCTCCATCCCCTCAAAGCATCGACGTTTCGCTTCGCATCTCACCGCTCCTGCTCGGTCTCGACGCGGCCATGTTCACCGACCAGGAGCGCTGCATAGACCTGGTTCGGGCGCAGCTGAGCAGAAGCTGATGTGTGAAGTACATGACTGGAGGCCATGACTGGAGGCCATCACTAGGGCCATGACTGGGGCCACGAGGAGCCGAAGATCTGGAACTTTCGTTTGGAATTCAGACAACGCTGCAGAGCTTTCATCATGAAAGTAAAGACAACTGCAGCGTTGAAGAGAGCCTTGGGGAATTCAGGCCTCCCCTCACTGGAGAACAGTGTTGAACATCCATCATGGTCAATCACATGTGGGGGCCCAGGGGACATGGCTTGAAAAAAGACCCAAGAAGCACTCATGCTGTCTCCCACATGGTCACCCTCAGAAGCACTCATCTCAAGATATCTCTATCGCGTGACCTTGTTTTTTCGTGTGTTTGCTCTGCGGAAGATCATGGAAGATCCTTTCTTCGTCTTTCCCCACTCATCCCCGCTCACAACGAACGAGCACACCGTCCCCTTCGGCTTTGATGGTCCATCGCCGCCTGTGCCCAGGTCTCTTCGGTTTGAAAAGAGCCCAGGATGAGCGTGAGTGTTCCTGGGTGGGGATGGTGAGATGCCTATGGGTCCGCTCCTGACCTCCCCACCTTGGGGGAGGGTCCGTGGCGAAGACGAACAGCAGCTGAGTGTTTGGCCCATGTGCCTTTTTTCTTTTTGGTTCTCTCATGTGGGAAACACATCATTTCATATCATTTCCTCAAGCCATGAATCACACGAGGCCATGAAACACACCATCTATTTTCAAGCCATGTACATGTATGAATCTTGGCCCAAAACATGTGCCGTTTTGAAGAGATGCTCTTGAGCTTTTTGTTTTGCACCTGAGGTTTTTGAGCTTGCCACGCTCTCATCCCCCACACACGGAAGAAAAACATCCACCACTGCCCAAGTATCGTTGCTGCTCCAAATCGGTGATACGCGTGCACCAGCCGTTAAACCATGGGCCGTTACCAGCGGCGCACAGATAACCTGGGCGAATGCCGCGGTTGAGGTCCACGGATCGTTTCCAAGTTCTTTCGAGTGTGCGCCAAGCATAGTTGGCCAAAGAAATACTGCCACCACGGTCACCAAACCACAGGAAGATGCCAGAGCCTCATGAAACATTGATCAACTTCTAAGAGCATTCCAAACTCCATTTGGGGAGTCAATTTTTCCTGATCCTCCTCGCCCCATCGAGCGGTTTTCGTTGCCGTCTCGTCCTCGTGGAAGTTGAGGCACGTTGCAAAAGAAGGAAGAGGATCCCAACCTCAGAAGGCAATTCTCGAACCATGCAATGGATTTCCGAAACGTGTCTGGATTTGTCGAGAGTCATCCCAAGTACTCCCCCGGCGCGGTTTTTTTGAGTGGGCACCAAGAAAGCCGGAAGGGGCCGTTGGCCAGCCAGTGGGTCATTGTCATGGACACGAAAGGATAATAACCAGGAGACTCCCCGATTGATGGGGAATGAACAGCCAAATGCATTCAATTAACCATATTCACTAATCCATCTCTCTGAAGCAAGCATTTTCAAGGGTCATTTTCACGCTGCTCCTGGTCGCTAGTGACCTCAACAACTCTGCGAAGGAGCCCCGGATGGTCGCCGTTCACACCAAGTGGCTGCCAACATCACTCGTGTCTGATGGTATCGACCACCGACTTTCATGGCAAATCGAAGTGCGCGATCTCGGGCGCCCAAATGCGTCGCCCAGATGCTCAGCTCATTTGAGAAGCATGGTCTGATGACGTCTGACGTCTGAGAAATGATCAACCGGCATGGTGGACATGTCGAGATGACTTGAGTCCGAGTCCTCAAGAATAGAATCTGATCGGCTTCATCAGCCGCATGACACCGCCGCGTGACACCAATTTATAACACTCGAATTTGGACCACCGGCGACCGCTGCATATGGAAGATGTCAACACATGGGTCTACTATGGTCAAGTATGACTGCCATGCTGAACTGGGCAGGCGCACCGAGATGTTTTTCTGGTCATGTTGAGGTTCATACAAAGCTTCCTTTTGCGGAGCTCAACACAAGCTAAGAATGCGATCCATGTCATGCGACCTCTTCTGGTTTTGCTTGTTTTGCTCCTCATGTTCTGGGCTGTTCTCTCTTCAGCCTGAAAATCTGCGGCAGGAACCTGGCCCATGTCAGCGAAAGGAACATCCTGAAGGGTGCCACATGGCGGAGAGCGGTGGAGCAGCATGAAGGTACAGCCTCCACTCATTTCATCTCATTTTTCCGCAGAAAATGGGGCATGGCCGTGTGGTTGGCGCAGCCCGGGTTCAAGAGGAACATCAACGCATGTCAGATCATGTCAGTCATGGTTCAATCATTCAATCTGCCACTTGATTAGGTTTGTTCTGGGATCCATGGCTCGTTTGAACGATGCTTAGAATCGCTTTCGCAACTCTACAGGTGTTGGGATGGCCTTTCAAGGTAGAAGCACGAGCCGTACCAGGGGCCTCTTGCACTTTCCTTCCCTTTTCTCCGACAGGTTCGCCGCCTGCAGCATGCAGATGCATGCAGATGATGCAAATGCATGCAGCATCACGGTACAGCCTGGTAACCAGCCCGTGGCAGGCTAGCCAAACAAACTGTCGCAAGCCTGGCGTGAAGAGCTTGGCTTCCTCTCACCAGGGTCTCAATCCCCGTGTCTCACCGTCCACTCGGTCGACCTGCTTCGCTGCATCGCGCGCCGCGCTTTAAGCGTCACCGTGGACCTTCTGGTCACTTGAGCCACCGCGTCACGGAGAGATGTGGCTAGGGGGTCAAGACCCGGAACCCTAAACATCCCTAAACATCCCTAAACCAGGGTAGCTTGATGTAGGTTGACCTAGGGAATTATTCTGTTCTTCGGGAAAACCCAGGTGTCCCGGCTTCGACTAAACCATGTCTGTTGTCCGAGAGTCTGGTCTTCGTGTTTGCCCAAATTGTGCTGCACACTTTCAACAGCCTCCAGCCATCTCGTCAGATCATTGCTTGGAGCACCGATCATGATGGAACCGCGGACCGTGGATGCTAAAACTTCTCCTTGCAACCACAGACTCCCAGAAGTGATGGAAAAGCTCGCCACATCCACACCCGAGTCCATCCGACTCCATTCTGCAGACCCGCCCGTCCATCCGACTTCACCCGTCAGTCCGCGCGGGTGCGCGTACCAACAGTCAGTCCGCGCGTGAAGCCGCCACTCTCCCGCGGCATGTTCTTTTTCCTTTCAAGACGTCACGATGAGGGCGGTTTCTCGGTCTCCGGTCCCTGGGTCTCCTCTAAAAGCCGCTGCCAGACCCTGAGCCGACGTTTGGGCCGGCAGACGTGCAGAGGAGTCGCAGTGAATCCGAGGCCGTGGTGGAAGCGCCCCGTGAGGTTTCGGTGTTTTGGGCTTGCAGGATGGAATGATCTGTGGATCTGTCCAGGATGGATCAGTCAAGGGGATTGGACTTTTGGCGCTCTATTTGGAGTATGATATTTTTAGGAGCATGTTTCAAGATGCGCCATCATTTGTTCGCCACAAAGATTAATGATTTTGCATGTGATGCTACATCAACACGGCCCTAACACGGCCGGCTGTCCAGTGGCTAGCTCGTTGGTGACGCTCGGCATGTCACAGATCTTCTCTGCTCAGAACCCATCCAAGAGACCCTTTCTGGTGTTCTTGGTGTGTATACAGTTGTCCATAGTTGTCCCCAAATAGATAGCGGCACGGTTTCCAATACATTTTTAGTGGGATTTACTTTTCTATACGTTTCTATCTATTTGGGGGGTTGATATAAGCCAGGGGTTTCTTGGAGCTCTTGGCTTGTGCCCCTTCAATGGATATCGGCTATAGGCTCAATCGCTGGCACGGGATCGGCACGGGATCGGCACGGTGGCACGGGATCGGCTGCGCTGACTCGACTTCAGGCGCCCCGGCTGGTCTGGAATGGAAGCGCGCTTGCCGTACTCTCGAGGGTCGGGTGTGCCGAGGTCCTCGGTCGGACTTCAGCCGTTGGAGAGAGCCGGTGGCGAGAGCCGGAAAGCCAGGTGGCATGGGCGTTCAGTCTTTAAGCCATCCCACGGATGGCGTTTAGATGTGTTTAGTATATACAGTAGGCTATACAGTAGGTCTTCCGGCTGAAGAAGACGTTGAGCCTTTGACTAAGCCCCGTGGTGTTTACACGTGTTACTAAGAAATCGGCTTAGCATGGCTTAGCAAAATATTGGGCCTTTGTCAAGGCACCATGTGTGTACATGGAAATGATGGAAAAAGCTATCCCAGCGCATCTCAGTACAAGGTGTGGACCATGGTGGGGACCCACATCCAGTGGCGGGATTATCCTTGATTGAACGGGGTCTTGAATATGTGTTGTGCTCCTCTCCCCCTGCTTTCGTAGTGTCTTGAAGTGTCTGTTCCACTCCCTAGACACCTCCTACATCATCCTCAAACACCAGTCACCAGAAGCTCCTGCATCCTGCATCCTCCCATCACCCGTCCACCGCGAACGGGACCTCTCGGGACCGACCTCTGACGGCTCCCGGCGAACGCCGCTGGCCGCTGTCCTTCGGGTCGGCCTTCGCCTGGAGCAAGAGCCGCAGCGCCCCGACGTTGCCTCGGAGGCCATGGCTGGCCGCGGGGAGCCAGCCGTGGTGGGCCGCGGGGGGGAGCCGCGAGCGGCTCGTCGTTTTTGTTTTGTGTTTGGTTTTTGGGGTCTGGGTGGTAGCCGAAAGGACGATGGGATGTTTCTGGAGTGCAAGGGTGAAGGGGTTCAGCTTGAAATCAGAGGGGGTGCTCTGGAGGAGGGTGTTTGTTTTTGTTTTGCCGGGGGGCAAAGGAATCGCAGATTAATCATCGGAGGATATTGGCGGCGGATGGTGGGCATACTTTACCTGTACAGTCACTGATTGATGTGTCTTCAGAAAAGAATCCCAGGCGAATCTAGATGGAAGACAACAAAGAAGGAGGATCCTTCCTTCTTGGCTTTTTCATATTTGCCCTTCGCACTTCAGGGTGACTTTTTCACTCGGGGTCCCCTCTTTGTTTTTCTTATCTGTATCATCTTATCTATTGGTATGTTGGAAATCATTACATTTAGAAGTTACATCAAATGACATTTGTTTTCTTATTATTATGTAATACTCACCATTTATTTTACTTTGCTCTTATTATAATTCTATTTATCTTTACAGGATTTAAATTTATTGTTGGACTGGGATTTACTTATCATATACATATTCTCTTATATTTAATAGGAGATGCCACAATTTCTTTACAACCAAATCTACATCTCCATCCCACACTACTTCCCTTTCTCAGGCTCTGAGCAGGGGTCTCTTTCAGGAGTTCTCCTGGTCAACCCTCCGGCCTTCGCTTCCCCGATGTCCCGCCGCGGCCGACCCGATGACTCCGCCGAAGGCGCCCCGTAGAATGCTGGTGCACAAGGGCGTACTGCCGCTGACCAAACGCCACTCCTTCCGCGCTTCGCTGCTGCAGAGCCTGAAACGCGAGTCTGGGTGCTGGGCAGAAGAAGGTGGACGGACGCGATGACGCGTCATTGATCATGTGACTCTGGACAGGACGTTGAGATTCGGTGCCTTTGCTGGAGCTGATGAGCTGTACCATGCTGTACCCAAGAAGTTTTGGCCATACCTCCAAAGAACACCATTGCCGACTTTGGTCAGAATTGGTTCCTTTTCGAAGCACGCGCATTTGACCAACCGCTTGACCAAAGACGCGCTCCAAGTGCCTGGTGAAGATCTAAGAATCCATTATTGGTTCGTCTGTTCCCAGGGTTTTGTCTGAAAAAGGACCCGCAACCCTTCAACATCACGAACCATGATTGGGTCCAACACGACCCAGTCCAGCATGGTCTAGCACTGATGAACCGCCTTTCTTCAGGAAACATCTCAAAGATGCGTCTGAGTTGAGGCCATGAGGCCACACCACGGACCACACATCGATAGTTACAGTCATCATGTCATGTATGTCCTTATTTCGTGACAAACCACCATTTGAACCACCACACATTAGATCCAGCTTCTCAGACAGGATCTCTCTCCTGTCCTCAAACCACATGGGACATATAACCGGTTGGTGGGAAGTCCCTCCGAAGCATCAAGAACCTGCATAGAAGACCTCGCGGGGCATTCCTGGCCCTCTTCACTGGCAGCTCATACGTGCTCAAGATTGCTCAAGAGCTTATCGGGCTATCGTGTATTGCATGGCAAGACAGGTTATGAAAGTCTTGCTTGAAACGAATTGCTTATATTTGATTAACATATATATATATATATACATATTATAAAATATTACTAAATCGACCAAAGGCTAAGGCTCCACCGACTTCCAAAGATTCAGCGACAACCATTTTCCACAACTCTTCAATGTCATTAGCTGCGAACCTCAGATGATCACTACTCTTGAAAGCCTCGAACGCTTCGAACGCGGCAGTAGGGTCCGACGTGGAGATCTTGATGGAGCAGGATGGTGACATCAACCAGTCAAGTGAACGGCGACTGCAGAAGCTTCTCCCTCCGAAGTGCTCGCCGCTGAGAGCGATTCAGCGCAAGCAGCGGTGCTTGTCCGGTCTCCTGTGCTTGTCCTTGACGGGAAAAGAACATGCCCAAACGTGACCCAGGACGGAGGTGTCTAGGGTCTCAAATCAGTTCTGAGGGACCAAGGGCTGATTGGAGCTTCTGGGTGATTTGATATCAAAGCCAGGTTTTGCAGATTCATTGTGATTGACCCACGTCTTCAATTGTGGCCGACGGATTTGCCCTGCAGATCGAGGCCAACAACTGTCCATCAGGCAAGACAACTCGAAGACTTTGGATTTTCAAGGCATTTGCAATGCGATCCTGAGTGTCAAGAGCAAGGTCGGAACGACCTGCCTTCAAGCGCAACACTTCATCTCCAGCCAAATCCCAGCATTTCAGCACGGCTGCATCATCTTCGAAGAAGCAACCGAGCTGTAAAATATGGTCCGCAGCAAATTGTGTGTGATCGCACACGTATCGACAGCTGGGGGCTCCAAAAGTGAAGAACTCGAACCAAGACTTCAAAGACGGGATGTTACATTGTCCTTCAGCATTTTGTCCACAAGCCACTACACTCCCATCGCTTCGGAGAAGGGCTGAATAGAAACTTCCTGCCGAAATCTGGGTGTAAAACATTCCCTCATCCAAAGGTGGAATGTTGCATTGTCCGCTAGCATTCATTCCGCAAACAACTGCGCTGCCATCACTTCGTAGAAACACTGTATGAAAGGTACCTGCAGAAACCTGGGTGTAAGTCATTCCCTTGTCTAGAGGCGGAATGTTGCACTGTGGGTCGATGATTCTTCCACATGTAACAGCGCTGCCATCACTTCGGAGAAGCACAGTATGCAGAGTACCTGCAGAAGCCTGCGTGTAGGATATTCCCTCATCCAAAGGTGGAATGTTGCATTGTCCATAATCGTTCTTTCCGCAAGCAACAGCACTCCCATCACTTCGCAGAAGTACCGTATAGAACCCGCCTGCAGAAACCTGGGTGTAGAACATTCCCTCATCCAACGGTGGAATATTGCATTGTCCTTCATCATTCAGTCCGCAAGCAACCGCGCTGCCATCACTTTGGAGAAGCACATTGTGATATCTTCCTGCAGAAATCTGGGTGCAGGATAGTCCCTCCTCTAGAGGTGGAATGTTGCATTGTCCGTAGGCATTCCATCCGCAAGCAACAACAGAGCCATCACTTCGAAGAAGCACTGTATGAAGCCTTCCTGCTGAAACTTGGATGTAAGACATTCCTTGATCCAAAGGTGGAATGTTGCACTCTCCAAATGCGTTCAGTCCGCAGGCAACAGCGCTACCATCACTTCGCAGAAGGACTGTGTGAGACTCACATGCGGACACCATGAGCAAGTGGTCTCTCGACCAAGTTGGGCAAAGATCTAGGAACACAAAAGAAAGTCATCAGAATCCATCAAGGTTATAGAAGGTGAGAAGCATCTATTTATCACCCACATATTGTATAACTGTATAACCCATAATATCTCCCGGGCCGTATATCCCTACGTCAATTGCTCAAGGTCCATTTCTCTTCGTTTCTCCTCGCGCTCCGCATCGCTCCGCATCGCTCCGCATCGCTCCGCATCGCTCCGC